CTGGCAAGAAAGGGTATAAAAGAAGAAAATCTAATGACATGGCCTCCTTGTTCACCTGATCTGAACCCCATTGAGAACCTGTGGTCCATCATCAAATGTGAGATTTACAAGGAGGGAAACAGTACACCTCTCTGAACAGTGTCTGGGAGGCTGTGGTTGCTGCTGCACGCAATGTTGATGGTGAACAGATCAAAACACTGACAGAATCCATGGATGGCAGGCTTTTGAGTGTCCTTGCAAAGAAAGGTGGCTATATTGGTCACTGATTTGTTTTTGTTTTGTTTTTGAATTTCAGAAATGTATATTTGTGAATGTTGAGATGTTATATTGGTTTCACTGGTAATAATAAATAATTGAAATGGGTATATATTTGTTTTTTGTTAAGTTGCCTAATAATTATGCACAGTAATAGTCACCTGCACACACAGATATCCCCCTAACATAGCTAAAACTAAAAACAAACTAAAAACTACTTCCAAAAATATTCAGCTTTGATATTAATGAGTTTTTTGGGTTCATTGAGAACATGGTTGTTGTTCAATAATAAAATTAATCCTCAAAAATACAACTTGCCTAATAATTCTGCACTCCCTGTATACACTTCATGAAAAACAGTCTAATTTTGTTAGCTGACCTTATTACACATTGTGTTTAATTTAGAAAGTAATTTAAAGGGACACTATAGTCACCAGAACAACTACAGCTTAATGTAGAAGTTCTGGTGTCTACAGTCTGTCCCTGCAGTGCCTAAGAACACCTCTAATGGCAGTCACAAAGAAGGTCACTAGACGCTTGGGGGGCTTACTATATCTCGCTGAACAGTGTGCAGCACTGACGTTTAGAGTCCCCACACTCTCTCACATTCTCTATGAGGAGATGCTGACTGGGGCAGCATGGTGTGCAAGAGCCTCCCACTGCTTTCCTATGGGACAGTATATCCTATGGGCCAGGAAGTCAAAGCCAGCCACAAAGAGACCATAAAGGTGAGTAACATAATATTTTAACCAGAGGCAAGGGTTGCCGGTGGCCTATACTGTGTTTTGAAACTATAGATACATGTTATATTCCTGGCATTATAGTGTTATATTATTATTACATAATTATTACATTATTACATAATTATTATAGTGTTCCTTTAACTCCTAAAGAGCAGAGAATTGAGCAATGACACTACAGGGGCATGATCTATACTAGTTTTTTTTTAATTCATTAGGCTAAAGCTTTTTAGGTATTTTTGGTCCATAAGTATTCTGTCTGGCTGATCCCTGTTTTTTTCTTTATTATTATTTATTTATGTATTTATTTGATTGATTGATTGGATTTAGTGTCTGTCCCATAACTATCAATCAAGTCTAATCTACAAGGTATTTTTTAGATGAATGATCAAAAACAGCACATGAATTCTTTAAATCAGGCATGTGTTAACATGATATCCCAATAAATACAATTAATTAAAAACCAAAGGGTATAGAATATTTTTATGATAGCACAGCAATATTTATGGGAAACATGTCAAATAGTAAATGTGGGGGGCGGAGTCAAGCTACTAACCTGAATGGCCGCATGCAACCGAAGCTCCGTGACAACCGACCAAATAAGGCCCTCTAGCGCAACCCAAACCCCCCAAAAAAGGCACCAAATGTCACCTCTAACAAAAGAGAAAGAAATGGGTCAAAAAACGAAGAAACCCAAGCCGGACAAACCCAAACAGAGCGGTAACATCGGAGACCTCTGGAGGCTAGACCGTAGTAGCGTGAGCGCCAATATGGCCGACTATGCCGAAGACTGCTCAGACATCTCAGATGACTTCACTAGCGGGGCAGAAATATACCAACCGCCCACCACACTGGCCCCTCTCCCAACTCACCTACATGCTGACTCACCCCCAGTGACCATAGGGGTGATGAAAGAGCTGCTGGCGGGGCTTGAACTTACAATACAGGCTGACATGGCTCGGATCCGCACTGACCTGCAGGGCCTGACAGGTTGTCTGAGCACAGTGGAAGAAAACTGCTGAAGCAAGCAAGACACAACACAGCTGCAACAGGCTGTACACGAGATGCAACAGCAAAACCGCAGAATGGAACAGAGCTTTGCAGAAATAGACCACCAACGAAACCTGAACCTCAAGATCAGGGGAATCGGGGAGGAGATCCAGGAGTCAGAGGTACTGCACTTTGTCAGGCGACTGATGTCGGCCTTCCTGCCCCCTAAACAGGTCAAACAAGCAGTCCTGGGGGGGTGTTCTGCCTCCCCAGACCCGCCAAAGCACTGACTACGGCGCCCAGAGACCTCCTAATACGCTTCCAGAATCCTGGAGATAGGGCAGTGGTGATCCACGCGACGAGAAAGCAAACTCCACTAATGTTTGAGAGCATGCAGCTCTTGTTCTATGCGGATCTCTCAGAGCCCACGCTAGCCTGGCACCGCACCATGAAACCCTTTACAGCCCTCCTGCTGCTGCACAACATTACCTATCAATGGAGACATCCTCAGGCACTCCTCATCACACACGGGAACACCGCATACAAGATTCACGACATGCAAGGTGCCTCAGACCTTCTACCAACCCTGGGACTAAGACAGGACGACTTGTCCTAAGCAGTAGTAAACAAGCCAGAATGACGGCCCATGACATGAGAACCCCTTTTCACCCCACGACGGGTCAGAGAAGAAGCCCTCACAGCTGCCACTACCAGAGGAGGAACGGAACTCACCTCACACCAGCTCTCTAACCACATGGACCAGCTAAAAAGAACAAGCAAACCACTTGTTCTCAGAGACAGTATGACGGACAACATACAAACCACCAAAAAGTAGCCCAAGCGAACAAACACTCGTCTAACACACACATGTCGCCGTACTCCCCTTCCCTCCCCCTACCCCGGGATGATGGGGAAACCTCATTAAATCAAGAGCGCAACATCAGAATGCCCATACCGCACAATACGCGTTCCCCATCTGCCCACGACCAGACAGCCAACTCATTCCTGAAGGTGAATCTTACCTTAATGCCTTCAGCACCAGCGACCCGATTAAAGATATGGCCACACACCAAGGCATACAGGGCTCACCAAGCGCTAGCACCCACTACCCAAAATAAATTCCCTCAGCTCATTGCCCTAGACCCACGTATGATGGACATACTGCCAGTTGCTACCTGCCATGCATGTTTTGAAGTTATGCAAATGTTTGTCACATGTAATGTTATATATTGGCTCCGCTATGACCTGAGTCAAAAATAAAGGATTTTAAAAAAATAAAGAAATAAATAGAAAATGATGTTTTGTTTTGTAATTACTAGTGGTTGTCCTACAATTGGAAATGCAACTTATCATAAATCTATCATAAGAGATATCTCTAGTTTTTAAATGTAACAAAGCCATATTATTATCTTTTTTTAAGAAATGAACATGGAGTTGAACAAAAGAATTCAGCTTCTATTTTAGTTGCTATGGAAATTTACAGAGATGTTTCACTGCTATTTTTTAGTGGCATTTTGAATTAATGCCATTTAAAAAACAACAACACACTTTTTAAAGCAGGACATCAGTAGTTCTCCAATTCTCATAAAGCCCAGTCAGTCAGATAAGATTTCTAAAAAGAAAATACTCTTGTTTTATAATTTAAAAAAAAAAATAATATAACAAAAGAAATACCCAGAAACTATCAGGGTTTCGTACCATGCTCAGAGGTAATGGAGTTGACTTATCTCTCAATTTGTTCAATAGCAAAACAAAGCCAAAGTTTTCACATAATTATTGGTCTTTTTAAAAGCCTCTTTATGATTCAAATATGCATTTTACATTGATCAGTGCTTTCTATTCAGTATGGCATTGTTAAAAATATTCAATATAAAATACGAAAACAAGAAAAAATATATTGTCGTAATTTAGATTAAACATTGATTTAAAATAGATTGAGATGGTTCGTTATCAAAGGTGGCTGGTAAAGTTTTAAGACGGCAGGGTCAACATTCTACCAATGGAATTTGACACTCTATGTAAATCAAACTCTTGATCTGATGGACTCTGCCAAGTTAATACTATGAACAACTTGCTAGCACAAGATTGGGAGTTTATACAGAAATGCTATACAAGCACATACCCATGCAGATGTTCCTGCAATAGTTTCAAAAGAATGCATACGCTCATGCACCTGGTAGAGCAGGGGTTAAAATAATTCACATGCTAGGCTCTGGTTGTGCTGTTTGGTTTGCAGAAAAAATAAGTCAAGTAACAGCTCAATTTTAAATACATTTTTAAAAAATATATTTAAATACTTCTAGAGTGCAGTATTGTGGCATTTTTTCAAGCATGGTCAATTTAAAGTTTACTCAAAACACCACTACCACTTTAGTGGTTTGAAGTGTGCTTGGTGCTTGGAGTGTGTATGTACATTACTTCCCTACGAAATGCTGCACATACATAGATAATGCACTTTGCAACATCAAGGCGGCTTATGTCGACTCTGTGGCCTAAAAGGCATCTTGTCTCAGCACGCTCAGCATGTTGGCAACAAGTAACCGATAGTTGAAACAAAAAGACTAATTTTCAAAATAGCAGCAATAAAGTATAGTATCCTTTTAAATATGGAATGTATCACATTGTCTAAATATATGCCGCACATAGCACAGTTTTTAGTGAAAAGACAGATCTGTTTATATTTGTATGCTGTGATTCATATATTTTCTTTATTTTTGGTGCATTAAGTAGTAATATATTATTCAGGACTTATTTGTTTACTACTGTATTTGAGCAATGATCTATCGGTTTTGCTATTTGGTGCGCCTTATCTCCACATATAGCAGGCAGCAGCCCCCTGTTTTATCTGGGGAGTTTGCTATGTTTTGTTTCAGGTTTATTCTCTCACTGCAAGGGTTATTCCATCCAAAAACAGTGTATTTTTTAAACACTGTTTTTAGTTACAGGGACACTATAGTCACCTGAACAACTTTAGCTTAATGAAGCAGTTTTGGTGTGTTGAACATGCCCCTGCAGCCTCACTGCTCAATCCTCTGCCATTTAGGAGTTAAATCCCTTTGTTTATGAACCCTAGTCACACCTCCCTGCATGTGACTTGCACAGCCTTCCATAAACACTTCCTGTAAAGAGAGCCCTATTTAGGCTTTCTTTATTGCAAGTTCTGTTTAATTAAGATTTTCTTATCCCCTGCTATGTTAATAGCTTGATAGACCCTGCAAGAGCCTCCTGTATGTGATTAAAGTTCAATTTAGAGATTGAGATACAATTATTTAAGGTAAATTACATCTGTTTGAAAGTGAAACCAGTTTTTTTTTCATGCAGGCTCTGTCAATCATAGCCAGGGAGGTGTGGCTAGGGCTGCATAAACAGAAACAAAGTGATTTAACTCCTAAATGACAGTGAATTGAGCAGTGAAATTGCAGGGGGATGATCTATACACTAAAACTGCTTTATTTAGCTAAAGTAATTTAGGTTACTATAGTGTTCCTTTACAGTAACCTTTGAAAGGCAAAAATAATAATGTAGAAAATATGTTTTACTCACTATTATACAATGAGTGTAATTCTGATTAAAATAACTGCTTGTCGTAATGCAAAGCAAAATTAATATGTATGTACATGTACGCAGTGACAGTGTTTCACAGAAGTGTGTTAAAAACTTTATCATAATAATTAAAGAAATACAAAAGTTAGGATAGTATTTATTTGCATGTTTGAGACCAAAATAAATATATTCCTATGATATGTTTAGCTCAAATCTAAACTATTTATGTAATTTAAAAGCTAAAGATGCTCTCTAAACATTGGGGTCTGAACATTTCCTTTTTCCTCTCTTTATTCTTCTGCTTCTTAAGATAAACAGGAAAGAAGCCTTTACTTACTAAACAAAACTAATTGGGTTGTGGTTGTATTGACTGACATATTATATCCTAATTCTATGGATGGAGAGACACATATAATATTTAGCTGACCATAGGCAAACATGTCTAATAAAGTAAGCAAAAGAATAAAATATAGAATAATACATTTTAAACTGAATGTTCAATCTTATTAAGGATGTAAAGCAAAGCACCTCTTCGGAAGGGGGTAAATGAATGAATGAAGACCTGATACTCGTTGATAAGAGATTTTTTTTCCAGTAGTGTCTCAATTGTGTCTATGCACATTTAATTAACCCAAAAGGAATATTTTGACATGTAATTCATATGTTTGTTAATATGTCAAATTTAATGAGTTAATCTTGGCCATGCTTTGGCAGATGAAAGGGTCAGGTCAAAACTCCTATTAACTCCTGCCACATTGAAGATGTCCATGGCGAGGCTAATGTAGTGGCCCTAGTGCAAGAAAGTTTTTGGACCCCCCTCTAGCACAGTGGTGGCCAGAAGGTAGATACCCAGCTGTCATACAATTTTCACAATGCTATGCTAACTGGGATCTACTATTTGCCCATCTTTTCAGAGTTGTATTTAGGACCAGTGTTTGAATGTAATAATAATGTACTGTGACCACTGGAATGCAGTGATGTACTTCTATGTAATGTTTGCTTTTTAATGCAGGGGTGTTTTTCTATGTATTATTAGCTTTAAAGCAGGTGCACTTCTGTGTGTAGTGTTGTTGTTTGAATTGAGGGGTGTTTGTATATAATTTTGGCATTTTAATACTGGGGTGTGTTTGCATGTAGGGTTGGCATTTGATTGCTGGGATGTATTCAAATATACATATACACTACCACATTCTATCACAATACATACGCACATACATGCTTACGCAGATACATATACACATTGACACACACATGCACAGATACACACACTGACATATTGACACCTGCACATATATTATTATTATTATTATTATTATGATGATGATATTTATAGAGCGCCGTCAAATCCCGCAGCGCTTTACAATGGGTGGACGAACAGACATGTTACAACTACATATACACACACTTATATGCACAAACTCAGACACACACATATAAACCGTTGACACACACATAGACAAACCCTAACACATATGCACTCACACATAGATACACATATGACACATACACACTCACACACACTCACTCAGGCACATACACATACTGACACGTGTGTTCGGCCATACGAATGGAGGCCACCCAGGGAAAACACTTGAACTAATTGTTCCATTGAAGTTAAAGGGACACTGTAGTCACCTGAACAACTTCAGCTTAGGTTGTTCAGGTGAGTACAATAGATCCCTGCAGGCCTTTTCATGTAAACCCTGTATTTTTGGAGAAAATACAGTGTTTACCGTAGAGCCTAGGAACACCTCCAGTGGCAGTCAGTCAGACAGCCACCAGAGGGACTTCCTAGTTAAATCCTGCCAGATGCGCAGTACTCATGTTTGACGTCTTAACGTTTAGCTGAATACATCAAACGTACTATCAGGACAAAGCAGGCAATGTGAACCCCACCTGCTGTGTCTTGTAGTAACCCCGGAAGCTGTCAGCAGCCAAAGCCGACAGTGTGGGAGATAAGATGGCTGACAAGCAGCTGAAGGCAGAAGGTAGAAGGCTGGAGAAACAGCAGGAGGATCCAGCGATCTACTGGACTTCAAACAGTAAGTAAACTTATTTGAAAAATAAGAGAGTGACTGAGTGTGTGTGAGAGAGTGAGAAACAGTGAGTGAGTGAGAGTAAGCAAGAGAGAGTGGATGGGTGAGTGAAAGTGAGTAAGTGAGAGTGGATGAATGACAGAGTGAGTGAGAGAGTGTGCGTGAGTTAGAGTGAGTGAGAGAGTTAGTAAGTGAGAGTGAGTGAGTAAGTGAGAGTGGGTGAGTTAGAGAGTGAGTGAGAGAGAGTGAAAGTAAGTGAGTGACAGTGAGTGAGTGAGAGTGAAAGTGAGAGAGAGTGAAAGTGAGTGAGTAAGTGAGAGAGAGAGAGTGAATATGTGAGAGTGAGAGTGAGTGAGTAAGAGTGGCAGTGAGTGAGTGAGTGAGAGTGGGTGAGTGAGAGTGAAAGTGAGTGAGTGAATAAGTGAGAGAGAGAGAGTAAGTGAGTGAGAGATAGTGAGAGTGAGTGAAGGGGAGTGAGAGTGTGAGTAAAAGTTTGAGTGATAGAGAGTAAGTGAGAGAAAGTATGTGAGCGATAGATATAGATAGATGTAGATAGATAGATATAATTATATATAGATAGATAGATAGATAGATAGATACAGATAGATATAGATATAGATAGAAATAGTGTATAGATATAGATAAATAGAGTATGTGTGTATGTTTACGCTATTTACAATTTGTGTATTTTTATACAAATACGTTATACATAGATATATCTATATATAGTGTTTGTATACACACAAACTTTGGGCTTAGGAGGGTTGCAGAAAGAGGGGGGAAGGCATAGACAGCAAGCTGAGCTATCAGTCAGCTCACGAACGCGCTTACTGCACACATAGAGCGCTCAGTGATCATTCATAGAAATTGATAATCCTTACTTTGCCTGTGTCTAGTTTTCACCAAATTGAGAACCTTCAACAGGAAACAGCATTCCTGTTTGTACAAGCTGATCGAAAAGGCAGTACTTTAAAATGTAGCGTGCTCTATGGTATGGACAGTCAAACAAAACAAAATACGTTTTATACAGCAGACCCAGGCTGCTTCACAAGGGTATGTTCGGGAAACTCTAGAATAGGTACGGGCTGCCAAATGGGATAGTATAAGGTCTGCCACATCTACAGCAAGATGATAACTCATATTCAGAAAACACCACACGGTGGTACCTAACCCCGATGACTCACCACGCCAGAGACCCTAGATCCCTGATACATGCTGGTGGTGTGGGGAGGCACGGGCACCTTCACACACATATGGTGGAACCTCGCCCTCATCCGACCCTTCTGGGATGGAGTTTGAAAGGTGATAAAGGAGGTGACAGACAAATCCCTACCACGATCACAGGCCACCTTCCTCGTACACCACACTATGCCAACACTGATGTATAAACGGTCCATCATCCTGAGACTCCTTAACCCCTTAAGGACACATAACATGTGTGATATGTCATGATTCCCTTTTATTCCAGAAGCTTTGTCCTTAAGGGGTTAATGCTGCAAAGGCGATCATTCCTATCTTCTGGAGACAGATGCCTCCCCTGAAGTGTTGGGTGGAGGAGGTGGAGGACACGAGGAAATTTGAGGACTTGAAAGTGGCCACACCGAAAGACAGAGTCAGATACTGTGGGTCGGGAACCCCTAAATAGACTTAGACATCACTTCCCAGAGACAATTAGGCCCCACACCACCAAGAGGTGGCCCACACACCACCACCACTACATAGCACACTATGAAACCTCAGGGCTCCAACAGAACCACATAAGACCCTACTCAGAACGAATACACAACACACTTCCCAATATTCCTAAAACAGCAACTAATTCAGGATGGCCAGGGGTGAAGCTACTTGATGCACTACCAAGCTACTTGTTGATTTTCACATTGTTATCTAGAGAACGGAAAAGGTAATACTGTAAAGTTAAGCAAGAGTTTTAATATGTTAGCCACAAAGAAAAAAAATTCTGTTTCCCACACCATGTGACTGTTTTGCATTTTATCCCCTACGTTGGAAACCTATTTGATATTGAGACACTAATAAAGATGGATTTAAAACAAATTTACACACAAGTGACAATGCTTTGACTAAATATTTTCCAAACATACCTGTATGATTCTAGTGGCTGTGGCTTAACCTTCCAGAATCCCACTTCTCTGCATAAACAAAATACACAAAATGGGATGTATAGAAGATGCATTAAAACTGTGGGATACTCCACATGTGCAATAAGATATTTTTTTTTTTGCAAAAAATGTGCCTAGACCCTACATTTATTGACATACATTGATCAGCCACAACATTAAAACTAGCTGCCTAATATCGTGTAGGTCCCCCTCGTGCGTCCAAAACGTCTGATGGTTAAATGCATGGACTCCACAAGAACTCTGAACATGTCCTGTGATATCTGATAACAAGACATGAGCAGCAGATCCTTTATGTTCTGCATATTGAGAGGTGGGGACTCCATGGATTCTGATTAGTTGTTCCAGCACATCCCCCTGATGCTTAATTGGATTAAGATGGGGGAATATAGAGGCCAAGGCAACACCTTGATGTCTTTGTCATGTTCCTCAAACTATTACTGAACAATTTTTTGCAGTGTGGTAGGTGCATTATCCTTCTGAATGAGGCCACTGACATCAGGGAACACCATGCCTTGAAGGAGTGTATGTGT